ATTTAGTGAGTGGATAGGGCGTTTTGAAAAAGGACAAAGTAAGAAATTACTCGCCACCGTTCTCTTAAAACCTTATTCAGGACATTATCACGATGCATCTTCTATGTAAATATAATATATTATTAAAGATGTCAATATATTTATATGGTATAAAACACTAATTTGGGGGTTTTTTTATAAGACTTAAAACTATCGGAAGAACTCTTTGGATGCGGCACTTTATACCGTTATCTTATGCCAAAGAACTAATCCTTCCTGTAGACAATATAATGCCTCAATTTACCATCGAGGCGATTTATGATAAGGATATCTCTAAAATTTATATTGAGTGCTCTTTGATGGAATGGAGTGAAAAAGTATACATTTTGTCTTTACAAATTTTATTATTATTTTATTTTTATAATTAAAATTTCTTCATTTTTACTTAAAAATAGGTCGGAATAGTTTGGAATGAAACCATGACTTCTTTCTACATGATTTTACCAAACTCGGAATCTATTTGTCTAAAGATCGGATGTTTGACTCGGCCAACAGCCCCATTTTTTGCCATCTCTAAAAATTTATCGCATTTTCCACCAAAGTTACATTTTGAAAAAACACTGGAATACAAACAAATTTTTAATAATGAGCAACTTATGTTGGATGGATTTATGGAAGCTGAAAGCTTCTTAAATCTAATGCGTTATTATAAATTGGTAGAATGGTTCAAAAATAATCCAAAATTTATGGATTTTTCAATAGAGGATAATTTTGAAAGATCTGAATTTTTAAATGCTGCAAAATGTTTAGGCGGAATTCTTTCAAAAGAATTCTGTGTTGACATTGAATACGTTTTTGTATGTAATTTCTCATATAATTTTTAATTTTGGTTTAATATACAAGTAATAGTTTCTTTTATTATCCAATTATTTATTTTTATTACATAGATTCACACAAAAAGTGTATCTAAATTCAATTATATACCTTACTTGATGAAACTCAAAGATTTACCGAATTGTAAGTTTATAGCCTATGGAAGTGACCCTTGGCCTTCAAATCCATCCGTAGATTTAGAAGAATTGCTTTTGCATGGTAAGAATTTCACACATTGTAATATTTGTAATATTTCTATACTAATTTTTATGATTATCAATAATCTAGGCGGATTCGTGACAATAACGGCGAAAGCCATTCATAATCA